GGGGGGGCGGGGGGGATTGAGGGTTGGGTTTTTTTGTTTTGTTTTGGGTTTATTGTTTGGTTTGGTTTTTTTTTCCTTTGGTTGGTTCGAAATAATGAGGGTGACTCTAGGATGATCACAATAAACTGTAAGTGCTGCAGTGCCATCGGCAGCATGGTCTCCGCCTAGGAACAACCAGACACTAAACCAGGTTGCCTAGAAGATTTCAGCTGTGTCCTTTGAGCTTTCCCATTCATTGCAGATCAATTTGCTGGCCCATGCTGTGCCTTTCTGGCTGCTACTTGGCTCCCAGGCTGGCCTTGCTAACATAAATCACGTAAGCTGTGCTTTTCCTCACATGGGGGCTATCAGCAGCAGCACTGGTTAAGCCGCTCTCCTCCTCTGATGCAAGAACAGAGGCAGAGAGGAGAGGGGAGGGGAGGAGAGGGGAGGGGGTGTCACAGGCAGATTTTTAGCTAGGTGCAGGTAGCCTGCTGTATGATTGCAGCCACCTCTCTAGCTCCTGTTTTAAACGCTGGCGCTGGAATATTGGAGCAAGGACTAGAGGAAAGGCCGGCTCTGTGAAATGAGCAGCCGCACAGGGCTTGCTTGCGAGAACCCCTCCTGAGCTGTGCAGCCACACGCCTTCCCTCCCATGCACACTTGAAAGATTAATTTGGCCCCCAGATTATTGCCCTTGGCAATAGTTAAATCTGACATTGGTGAAGGCAAGCGCTGACTTGTGCTGTCGAAGGAAAACCGCATTACTCAAGGGCTGAATCTGGGTCCCTCCTCCTCTGCAGCGCCGAGCCTGCTTGTGCTGAGCAGGCAACAGACCTCTGCCTTGGGTCTCACATCCCACGGGGCTCACGCTCCCGTGAAGCTTCCACGGGCAGCTTTGTGCTGCAATTCATACAGTGCTACGGAGGTAACCGAGCTTGCTCCAGCACCAACACCAGCCTCACCGCCGGAGCGCAGAGCTCGGCTCGGGCTGATCCACCGTAAACACCATGTTCCCCATTAATTACAAATAACATTTTCAGGCTCATAGTGTTGGAATTAACTGAGATACCTCCTTTACCATGCAAACCTGTATGCACACACTGGTATTACAAGTTCCATTCACCCAAAAGAGCAGCTTTTGTCCCTGCAGTCACAAGAGATCACATACACACACTGTAACGCAGCCAGGAAGGACAGAGCAAAGTGCTTGTTGCTTTAAGTCTCATAGCTGAATAGGAGGCTCTGCTCTACAGCTCTGGAAGTTTCTACTTGGCTTAGGAAAGTCAAATCCCTTTTTAAGCATTACATCTTCCTGCATCTGCTGAGATTCAGAAAGCCTGCGCTAGCAGGCAAGCAAAGGTCTCACTGGTCTTGGGGAGCTTCTCTGCCTGCCCATAGCCCTTCTTAGTCAGGCTTTTTTCTTCTTTATCCTTTACACATTTACAGAGCAGATCAAAGAGAATAAGGAACAGAAAGAAGCTTACACTTTTCCAGACTCCTGTAGCATCTCCAGCCACTGAGCCTGCTCAAACTCTGATTCGGCTGCTAGAACAATGTTACCCTAGAAGAGGGGAGGGGAGGGGGAAAAAACACCTGGATTAGAGAGGCCGGTGCCTTACGCACCTCCGTGCATGAACTGGACACGACTGGCACAGCTGTGGCAGGAGGAGAGCCGGCCGCAGGCTTCCACCTCGGTGGGAGACACCACACGGGAGCACTTACGACCCAGGCCTGCCACACGTTCTTGCTTGGAAAGTGATGCACACAGCAGGCGGTCATGGAATGCAACGACAGAGCGACGTGAGCTCTGGGGCTCCTGAATATCTGGCTGCTGGCCTGCCAGTATCATAAGACCTGCTGTCAGAAAGAGTGAGTTTCCTTGTTGGTTGTCAAAACAGGAGGAGCAGCAGCACAGCCTTGAGGGGACTTGGGATGCTAATCCACCCTCTTTCTCAGGATAGCCTGCCCAGAGATGGCAGGCACACATTGGTGGGGTGGGAAAGACTGCCAACCTAGCTCTGCTCATCAGCAATAAAATGTTGTGCATTGTTCGGTGGTTTTTTGAGAAGAGAAGAAGTCTACTTACATGGAAGTCTTCATGAGAGATCTTTATGGCAAAAGGCATGTTGGGCTCTTCTTTGGGCTCCACGATGCAGCCTCCCAGGGGTATGACACCCTAGGGATGAACCAGAGCACTCCATTCAGTCAGCAAAATCAGGTATAACTATTAACTAACCAGGAGCTGAACTTTCACCCTTGGTCACTTGGGGTCCCTTGCCCTGCCTTCGCTATCCCAGGAGGAGCAATACACACAGTTCCCGAAAAGCAGAGGGACTCCCACCACCACCAGGAGACCTCCAAGTGGTATCTGAAAGGGGGTAAAGATGGGTCTCCTGCGTTTAGCTTGGAAGGAAGGCTGCTAGCTGGAACATGGAAGTGGGAGTCCTTTTATCAAGCAGGAGGCAATCTCCCAACAGGGGCAGATGCTGCAGGGTCACAGTGCTGTAGCATGAGAGAGGTTGAGCATCCGTTACAGTCACCACCAGCAGGTCAACACCCCACAGGTCTGTGTGGGGACAGATGGGTGGCCTGCTGCCCCTAACCAGGCCGGGTGAAATCAGCACCTTTGGAAGCACACATGCTCCATCCAGCCTCTGCAGAGGCTAAAAGCAGACTCAGAGCACAGAGTCCCCCCCGTGAGAGCTCCAGGCAGCAGAGCTACTGAGGCTGCTTCTCAGGGCTGAGAGCACATGGAGTAGCAGGGGCTGGCTGCAACCACTTACGACTGCGAGTACAGGTCAGGAACAAGCAGCAACCAAAGCTGTTTACCCTGTCACTGGGTTTGCCAACAGTATCCTCATACCCACAAGATTAGTTGATTAGGAGATGGTGAAAACCAGGGGATACATCTACTATCAGGTAAACAAACACTAAAGTCACGTACCTGATGAATCAGTATGGAGCCTGGACAGGTACTGGTATGATTCTCGCCTTTTTTGAAGCTTCCCCGGATCTATGAGAGGTTTATGACTTACCTCTTCTTCACTTGCTGGGCTTGTGGCAGGGGGGAAGCTAGGAACAGAATAACCTCCTCTGCCATGCAAAGAACTGCTCACCTTGGGGTGGATGTTGAAGTATTTATTGCTTTCAAAGCTCTTCTTCTCACTCTCAGCATAGTAGAGCAGGAAGCTTTCCTTAATGATGAAGAACCTTTAAGGCAGGGAAAGGAAATAAATTTTGCTAGAACAGAGGTCGCGGTTCACAGCACAATTAAATCTCCACCTCACTAAAGCTGCCTTGTGAGCAAAAGAGCTTACTGCCCCCATCCAAGCCTAAGGTGAGGTGCCTCACTCCCCTTCATAGCCAAGTGCTAGTGCTTGACTCCAAGCGCTGAGTTCAAGTGCTTTGTGCCTGCAGTTCACCGCAGCACGTACGCATCAGTGTTGAAGGCAAACCATAACATCATGCACTTGCAGGGGAGTGGGACGGCAGTCTGCAGCCAAGACAGGAGCACAGCCAAAGCCTTTTGGCATCTTAGAATCATAGAACTGTTTAGGTTGGAAAGACCTTTAAGATCATCAAGTCCAACCGTTAACCTACCCAGGCCATCCCACCACTAAACCATGTCCCTAAGCACCTCCTCTGCCTGGCTTTTAAACACCTCCAGGGATGGGAACTCCACCACTTCCTTGGGCAGCCCGTTCCAATGCTTAACAACCCTTTCAGTGAAAAAATTTTCCTAATGTCCAACCTAAACCTGCCCTGGCGCAACTTGAGGCCATTTCCCCTTGTCCTACTGCCCATTACCAGGGAGAAGAGACCAACCCCCACCTCGCTACAGCCTCCTTCCAGGCAGTTGTAGAGGGCGATCAGGTCTCCCCTCAGCCTCCTCTTCTCTAGGCTGAACACACCCAGTTCCTTCAGCCACTCCTCGTAAGACTTGTGCTCCAGACCCCTCGCCAGCTTTGTTGCTCTCCTCTGGACACGTTCCAGCAATGCAACGTCTTTCCTCTAGTGAGGGGCCCAAAACTGAACCCAGTATTCGAGGTGTGGCCTCATCAGTGCAGAGTATAGGGGCACAATCTTGGCCCGTGGGGGTTCTGTCTAGCCCACGTGTTGGAAGAGAGCTGCTCCTTTTTTTAAGGGTCTCTCTCACATGGGCTAAGAGCACATTATTTTTGCAATTTACTCCCTACCACCCTTTTTCCTCCCATCTCGGCATAAGCCAGAAGGGAAGGGTTCCCAATGGCAGGGAGTCACAGGCTAGCATTCCCATGCGACTCTCAAGGCAAAAGATTGGCCATGAGACCACTCAGGAGCAGAAATAAATTTTAGAGACGTTTTTAAGCAGAGCTCCTGGCAAAGTCTCCTGTCACTGACCTCTGTTAATGCAAAGGAAATTGAATTTTTTTTTCTCACATGCGTCACATTAAAGTGTGCCTTATTCTGCTCAGTTAGCCTTAGGTATGCTCTGATGAACACCGTGTAGTAGTCACAAAATACCACAGCTTCTGTAAACCAAACGTCTAATTTACCAGAGCGTGTCCTCAAAATTGTGATTAAAGGAGTGCCACTTTTAGCTTATTTGGATGTTCAAAATGCCCCTGGGAGAGTCCCTCTTTGAAAATTGAGGTTGAGTTTACCCTGCAGGCAGTGGTACAGGGGCGAGATATCTGACTTAGCATAAATTTGGTCTAAATTGCTGCAGCACTCAAAAATGCTGAAGAGCAACTGAAAAGATGGGGACTCGTTTAGTAGGAAGGTTTCAAAGTGACAAAGAAAATGTGTTGCACTGTTTTGTACGTATTTTCTGATAGGAGAAGAGAGGAATTTGGAAAGAAAGTGGAAGGCAACAAGCTCAAAATTAATAAAGAATGCCTTTTTACACTCCACAAACCACTGCTGTGTAAGTCACTTTCACGTGGTCCTGAGGACAAGAGCTCATGAGGTATTTGGAAAGGATAAAGCATTTCGGTGGATAAGGAGACCAAGCCCAGGAAAGCCTCCTGCTTCTGGGCAGAAAGCCTCCACTGAGGGGGCTCAGGAAGAGATTTCTTGAAGCTGGCAGAGAATTATCATTATAATAGATTATTAGAATAGAATATACTATTATTAATAGTAATGATCATTATTGTACTTGGGGGAAACCTACAGCACTTCCACCAGCTCCTATCTCTTGATGTTCTGCCGTGGCTCTGGCAACACAGATGAAATTGCCACGTGCCACAGAAGCACAAGCCAGGGCTCACAAAGGGACCAAAAAACGCAGAACAAAGCTAAACTTCCAACTGCCTGCAGCAAGCTCAAGCTCTGGACCTACTGTGTGCCTGCTCCAAAATGTTTAAAAGTGACAGTCATTGAACATGCGCATATTTGCATCCAGAAATCTTCAGAACATACAAACACCAGCAGCAATTACTGTGCCCCAAATTTTTTCTTCTCCTTGCCCACTCCTCTATACCTGTTCACGTTGACATCGGAGGTGGGGAGAAGCAGCCAGCTTTCTTCCTCAGCAGGACGCTGTCTTCTCGTTGGATACTCCAGGAACATCATGGTTGACAGCCTAACCCCACCTCTTACTCCCAACCACAGCCTGGCAAAATCTCTCTAAGCAGAACAGCACGACTCAGTGTAAAAATCACTCTTCTGCACTGAGCTCATTTAGTTGGAAAAGGAACCAAAAAGGTGCTAATTCCCATTGCAGCCTGTCCAGCAAGTTATCTGAGTAGGAGCAATTACTATTCACCTTCCACCCAGGGACACATCTCCCTTCCAGCCCCAGCTTGCATCTCAGTGCACCTCCCAGAGGAGCTGCATCCAACATCCCCCCAGCCGGGAAAGCAAAGTGTGACCCCACCTGTGGTGGCTGTCCATACTCTCTCTGCATGACTGTCAGAGGTGCCTAAGATGGCCAGGGAGATGGACTGTTCATGGGGCACAACTTGCTTTCCCATCACAGGGAATCTCCAGCATCAATCTCTTCCTGGCGTCACAGATCTGGGACTAGAATGATTTCCTCATGACAGTAGGCAGGGATGGGAAGGAGCATCCCAGAGAAGGTGGGGGGTCTGAACTGCTCACAGAACTTTGAGACACCGGCCCATTTAGCAGATCCATTAGGTACGTTTCTGTGGGACACATTACTGACAGAGTGGGTTCATCAAGGTCTCACCTCTGCATGAAACAAAGATTGGTATTTTCAGATATATTTGCATTAATGTCAAGGGCAGCCATGACCCTTGCAGCAGGCTGGGAGCTGACCCTGGCCAAGGCAGATATCGGAGAGACCTCCGCAGAGCAGACGGGGCTTGTTTCTGGTTCCTCCCACCCACATCGCCTCTCTAAGCAGCAGCCTAGTGCCTTCCCGTTTAATTTTTCCTCCTATCTCTTGCCATTAACTCTATAAGAAAGTTTTCTTATGAGTAGCTGCATCTTCACTTTATGCCTCTAACGCTTAGTTCAACGAGGACTTGTATTTTTTTTTTAGAGGGACAAGTTACCTCACCTGCACAATAAATACAGAAATAACATCTTTAAAGAACAATCCTGCCTGGCCAGTGGCCTGTGCTGGGTCCAGTGGGTCAGAGTAAACCCGATACTGCGGGCACAAATACGAAACTAAGGAATAAAAGAAAAAAACCCCCACACCAGATGAAATGGGGAAAGTCTATTCTTCTCTTTCAACAGTCTTCAGCCTGAACAACCTCGAGCAACATTTGCAAGACAGGCAAAGATACTGAGCTTTAAATATGTGTGATTTTTTTTAAGCTAAACGTTAACCCCCAGGTAAAGCCAGGCTTTAATTTGTTAGATACTTTTTGTCTGCTCACTGCCTCTGATAATCCCCATACTATAGATTGTGCTCCAGCTGAAAACCAAACCAAGCCGAAAACAAGAACAGAGCATAGCACAGATCTCAGAATTGATGTGCCTCTGGCAGATTAATGAACTTTTAGATCCCTGGCCTCACAGTTGTGGAGAGAAGATGTACAAAATAAGAGTTTAAAAAAACAGTAAGACCAAAACCCCATGAAGGAAAAAACACCGAAAATCTGGTTAGCTGATGGACAGCATGTATTTATGCTCAGATCATAGTCCCTCATCTGTCCTTACCTGGAAAGCAACACCTAAGCAACCAAGATCACCACTTTGCCTTTCAGGACAAAGTCTCCATACAACACCACAAGGATAACTGATGCAGCACGACAGAAAGTGAGGTGAAGTGAAGGAGCAGAGGAGAAAGAATTACAAGATTCAAGAGCAAGTTGAAGACTGAAGCAGCAGCAGGGTGAGTAAGAGCAGAAGGGGAAAAGATGGCCAAGGGAGAATGGGGAGAGACACCCAGTTAGGACTGGGACCGGAGGGCTGGAGACACTGAATGTATACCTGAACTAGGCACAGATGGGCCAGCAGAAGAAAAGGGGGTGCTGGAAAGACAGGGGAAGATTCTGAATACCAAAAACCAGAAACCAAAAAAAGAAGATATTTAAGAACAGCAGCAGTTAGAAAGCCTGGAGAACAGCAGCGAAGGCGAGAGAGGCGAGAAGACCTGGTGCAACCAGGTCCACATGCAGCACAAGTAATGCAAGAGCCATTCACGCGTGGTTGACTCCCTTGGGTCGCCCGTCCCCTGTCGCTAGATCCTGCGCTAAGAAGCCACTGAAACTGCAGTGTAATTAAACTGGAATAGCAGAGGAACAGTAACCATCCGAGTGACTTGGACGTAAAGCCAGAGACATGATCTGCCAGGATTAGACACAGCAGCTCTGTGCTGGACAAGCAGAGATACCTGATCTCTGGGGATAAAAGTGCTTTCTTTGTGTCACAGAGGCCTAACGAGATTAATTCACTAATCTTTGTAAAAGTTTTTGAAGTGACAATGGCCCATGTTCAGTGTTCACAATATAAATGCAGTCTCACCGGGACTTCCTTCCAATTGTGGTTTTCTGGGCACCGGTCCAGGAGCACCGGCAGCGCATCCCAGTTACGAGCTCAGCCCAGTTCTCTCTTCCTGGGGACAGCTCAGGAAAATGATAGGCAAACGATCTTCATCAGCATGTCAGCTCAGAGACCCCAGTACCTGCCCCTCACTCTTCCTCTCCGGCCAGCTCCAAGGGTCTCCCGCCTGCCCCCTGCCCTGGCACCAAGCTGGCCAGGGCGCAGGAAGAGGGGGATGCTTCCTGGCAGCAACCAGCCAAGTGGGAAGTTTTACCAGGACAAGAGGGAAGCACTTGGTCTGCTGGACTCACAGCCCCACTGCCTCCGCAGCCCCCGCTGCCGGAGCGCTGCCTGTGCGAGCAGCTGCATGCTTCCTAGTTTGTTTGGGTTTTTTTAGAACAGAAACCAGTCCTAACCAGTTACCCCTTTCTGTCTATCCTGTGACCATACCCAGTGGCTGTTGGAAGCCACTCTGCTGGAAAACAAGGTTACGTGCATGCTTTGCAGTGCCACAGCCAGGTCTGGTCCAAGAGAAGATAAAATTTCTCTTACCTGCACTACGTTTCTCTCCTCCCAGCAGCAACCTGGCGTCTCTGACGGATTTACTCAGAGGCATAAGCATATTTTGTGGTTTGTTCTCTACTGGTTTCAATTCCTCATGTTCCACTTTGCTTTTCTGACTCTGGTTGGCCACTGAGCAGATGCTCTCCTGGAGCTGTCCCCCTTAGCCCCCAAGTCTCACACCCAAATGGTGACAGCTTAGAGCCTGACGTTTCTACACGGGGCTGGAATTATTCGCGGCAGACATCAGTTCCTACCTGCAAAACCATTCACGCCACATCCAGGGCAGGTTTGTGCCTTGTGCATTTCATTCCAGACTCCGTGCCAGGCTGATGCCCTTACCAGTACAACTTCTGTAGTAGGGAAGAGACTAAACTGCTCATTGTTATTGGGAAGGAAGAATTGGGGTAGAGTTTGGTGCGAAGAGGAGGACCATAGGTCAAGGGCTGAGAGCATGACTTTCCAAAGCCGGTCCAGCAGTGACCCAAGCTTAGACTGGTCAAAAGCACCAGTAAACTTAAGACGATGGTTGCGTCTCTCTTGGAAGGATATTAATTTACAAGGGAAGAAAATCCACGTTAGGATCAGAACAACTTCTCTTGGAGAGACAGGAGGTAGCATGCTGCTAATGGCATTTCAGAATAAAGCTCTGAGAGGCAGCATGCTCAGATGTCAGCCCTGGCAGATAAATGCAGCCACGTCGGTCCAGTGCCAGCAGCACCCACCCCACCCCCGGCCGGCGCCTGCGGCAGCACACAAACGCTTCGGCTGCAGGACAGACCATTGCGTGGGCATGGGAAAGGACCAAAAGTGCTCCAGACCACTGCCTCATGTCAAGCCTCGCCATCCTCACAGGTGCCATCAGATGCCAGCCCTGACTAAAACAAGGCTCTGCTATCCCGCCCTGCTCCCTGCATCACCTCTACCGCTGTGAAATCCCCAAGCCTGGGATTTCAATCACCAAGGCACTGGACGCCACGCCTGGACTTTTTTCCTTGAACCATTTTCCAAGCCAGCCTCCATCCTTCCCTTAAACACTTGCTTTTCTTCTCCATACCTCCAGCAGCACTGTTGCTGCAGCCAAATGAATGGGATCAAGCCATCTCTTCACAGCCAGGCAGACCCAGCCACGTGGCTGATGGCCCGATGTGATCAGTCCTCCCATTATGTGCTGGTTTATCTCCTGTGGCTTGGAAAGACTTTCCTCGGGACGGGGAGTAGTACCGCAGTGCAGTGCAAAATGACTTCACAGCCAAGGTACTACCTGTAAATACCAAATAGATAAAAAGCAGCAATCCAAGATTTCAGGCCAAAATCTGCATTGCTCAGAGGTCAGATCCTCAACTGTACCTAGCTATAGTCAATTTTTTTTCTCTTAGTTTAACTGGAGTGGGAAACATTTCTTCCCCTTTCCATAAAATAATGCACTCGACCAGCTGTGTCTTGCTGGGCATGGGGGGGTGGGTGGGGGGAATGGGTGAATTGTTCCTTATACCCCCACCATGACTGACTTTTAATAACATGCAAGAATTTTTACTTTAAATCAAGTCTCTCCTGTAATAATAATAAAAATATATCTTGTAATTCCTCCTGTTCCAGTCTTTTTACTCTGGAAAACCCTTCCTTCCAAACCCTATGGATTCCCAGTGTTCATTGCCCACTGACCTGTCTCTGGTCCCCCAGGACCCTCAGCTGCCGTGCTTGCAGCTAACCTTCCACATCCTCCCTGCCCCATGGTCACCTCCCCATCTCTTCCCACCTGCTATCACTAAAATATTTACCACTTGCAGAAGATGGGGGTGACTTCTAGGAACAGAAGTGCACTAAATAAATAATGACAGAGAGAGTAGAGATGGGCCATTTGCCTGCATGAAATTGTGATTGGGAAGAAGAAAGCCTTTTAAGAATGTCTCCTCCATGGAAAATTACCTTCCCCTCCATTATTCTGGCCACTTCTTTTCTGTAACACAGTCACATTTGTTCCCAGACATAATTCATTTAAATAGCAATGCTTGGGAGCTGAGCAGGGAGCATCCGCACAAATTCTCTCCTGGGTGAAAAAAGGCCATTGGTTTCCGTGTGTGTGTACAGAATAAAACCTGCACGCAGGTCGAAGATGGCTACAAACACAAAACTGCTTCCCAAGCAACACTGAACTATTTTTCATTCAGGCCATGCCATCTTCACAGGTTTGGACTGGACAGCACTGTGGTTACTACACAGAGCAAGACTGGGAAAGCTGCATTTAGAAGTGGATTTGATGTGTTGCATCTACACCGCAGACTGCAGCAAGAAGGTACGCACAGAAGGTAAGTACTAGAGGTAGCTGACAGACATTGCTCCTGTGCAGGTTAATTTATCCTTCCGAAAAGCCTTGAGACACACTATGATGCTACAAAGGCAGCTCAGGCTTCCACGCTGCCTTTTGTTAGTGACTCATTTGTGCCCTTCTCCAGTGGAAAGGTGAGGGGTGGGGGGCAAGAAAAGAACATTACTTTGCTTTTCTGGCAGACTTTTTCATCTGCAGATACCAAACTACTAAAGGCAGGTATGTACTACTATCCTTCTTTAACAGACCACAACAACAAATCCTGGGTCACAAAACATATCTCTGGCGGCGGCAGGGTGAAAATGCAAGTTTCTCCGCTGCCAGCCTTCTAACTGAATCATTTGCCAATGACGTCTGTCAGCAGTGACATTAATCTGCCATCCAGGAATGCTGGAAGGCTTAATCCATTGGATCATGCACCCCCAGTGAGCAATGAGAAAGAGCTGCACCATGTTTCAGCGAGAGTACCCACCCATAAACAGCCGTCTCTCATCATTTGACAGCCAGCGTAAAACTCTCCTGTGAGATTCAGCAGTTCACGTAAAGAAACCACACCAACTTTAAACCTCAGACTGACTCCATCACTTCAGTATCATAGAACGTACTTCCCTCCTTGGTAAACGGTTATAACAAATGCTTTCCAGCTCCAAACTTCAACAGAGCCTGCGTTGGCTGTCCTGAGCATGCCACCGCCGTCACGCAGCACAGCGGCCCTGACGCTGGTCCGCAGACCCCCGCAGACCATAGGCACAGACACGCAGTCCCACACACGCAGCTGGTTCAGCCCAGCCAGCTCACACCCAAAGGGCTCAGAGAGCTTTAACAAGTGCTAATGAACAAAGTCAAGCCATTTGGGGACAAAATACATGATCTGACTCTTTCGTGAAATGGTGATAGGGTAATTATCTAGAGGAGGCAGCTAGTCCCTGTTCCCACCCCGAAGCGTACGTAGCACAGGGTCTGGGCGGATAAAGGAGAAAGCACAACGGGGTGCCAGGTGTGTAAAGCAGACTCGGAACAGCAGGGAAGCTATGCCCAAAGTTTCACCCCCAGTCTCCGCCTGGCCAGCTGCGCTTGAAGAGCCAAGCACTCTGGCTCTGACTTACCCCAGCACCCTTTGTATTTCAGCTGAGCATCCCCCAGCAACTGCGCCTTACCTCCTGGACCATTTGGCCGACTGCCTGCCGAAGGGTCTCTTCCAGAGCACGCCGTACAGCTGCACTTTGGTGCTGATGTCCAGAGCATCTGAGTCTGCCTGCTCCATGGACGGAGAAGGGGATACAGAACTGGATTTTGAAGCGAACATTACAGATGGACTTGGTTCTAACTCCCACCCCTCCGCACGGCAGCTCGGGGAATCCGATTAAGTGCAACGAACCAGACGGACGTAACCAGCCACTCCAAGCGGCAGACGGAGAGACTGGGCTATGGTTCGAATCAATAACTTGACTGCTCAGCACTCAGTCAATAACTCTCTCCCTGATGCACGGATGATGAGAGTTTCCTCATTGCGTATTGCTTCCTGATGCATTACAGGCAGCATGCATCCCAGCCCAAGGGGAAAAAAAAAGAGCAAAAAGAGCCAGAGATCAGGAACACAGAGAGGCAGAAAGAGCTCATCAGAGAGAAAGCTCCCAATGATAACATAAGCCAAAATACCTCTGCACCAGAGCCAGCTTGGAAGGTTATTTCACTCGACATTGCAGCACCCCAGGCAGAAATCAGGGTGAGACGGATGTTTTGCTGTCAGGCATCTTTTACTCTGCCACATACCCCCAAAATCTTGTGCCTGGAGACAGGTTCTTCTCGTCTGTCCTGAGGAAAAGGGGAGCCAGCAAGTTCAGTCAGATTCCCTCTGCCGTCGGGAGGCTTGTGCCGTGCCAGCCTGGCGCTGCCCAGGGCTGCTGGGTTTGAACTGGGCAGTGTCCATGCTGCACGCCTTGCTCAGCCTTAAAGGGCCATTGCTGATCCAAGCTCGAGGATCAAAATTCTGCCCTCCTCCGTGCCCTGCTACATCTTGATGCGGCAAGCACAGCCTCTGCCCTGCCTCTTAGTTACCAGCTCCTTCTTGGCCCCGGCACAGAGACACGGGAATGTCTCTCACAGCTCAGGTGAGTCTCCATTCATCTCCCCTTTAGTACTCCTGCAACGAGCTTTTTATTCTGATTCCCTAAATTCTTGTTCCTCTCTTTAAACCCTCCCCTCCCTGCACAGATACAAACAGTCCTCCAAAAGAACCCCTGCCCTTTGTCATAGCCACAGGAAAGCACGTTCCTTCCTGCATCCTGCCTCCCTCCAGGATTTGGGGAAGAACTGCCTGCATTGCACCTGGTAAAGCATCTGGAGTTCCGGGGTATGGTATCACCAATACAGACACATACATGCTGCGAGGCATCTGCTCCTGTTTTTAACCTACGCCATCCCACGTGTATTGACGTTGATGCTAGGTTGCCAAACATCAGCCCTTCCCAACCGCAGTTATTCAGAAGTGACACACTGCAGACACGGGGTCCTGTCTCACGCCCGGAGATTAGAAACCCGGGACGTGCCGTAGGCTGGATTGCAGCATTGGACACAGGCCCACTTCGCTTTACACGGTCACAGGCGCTTGCAAAGCATCTTAAACAGAGCCAAGGCAGGCTGCCTGCCGCAAGCTCACAGGCTGCATTTGGTACCAGGGAAACTGTAGATGCAGGTCCCTGATAAAAGTCACTATTGATCGCTAAATGAGGGAGTCAGCAAACTCAGTGCTTTGTTACTGCCTCTCACCCTGGCTTTGACTGGCCTTTTGGTCCCAGACGGGACGTGTCCCAGGCGGCAGCAAACCCCATCTCAGAGTGACATGAAGGGAGAGGGTGGGCAACAGGGGGAGCAGCAGAGACGCCCTCATCTCACCTGAGCCCCGAATTCTTGAATACAACCCTGCGTAGCAGAAGAGTATTAATGCTGTGGTCACCGTTCCACACACCGCACTGAAAAGAAAATACTGCTCATATCCAGGGTTTCAGGAGAAGGAAAAATTTCCTTGGAATTATGTTGCACAAAGGGTAAAAAGGATTCTGGGCCTAACAGCATCACTTCAGTTTATAAACGCGCAGTGAAGAGCCACAGAGCCTCCATGGAAGGACGATCCAGTGCCCCTGCCACTGTACTGTACTGGTGACGCAAAGACCCGATAGCAATGACCTGCAGCGAGAAAAGCAGGTTTTCATTCTTTGCTTCTTTACTTAATTTTCTCTTGCAGACACCAAGAAAGGAAAGAGGTGTCCAGCTTCAAACATCAAAAATGCAGATATTTTCTCCTCTGGAAACTTCTAGGACAAGCAAGGGACTGAGTAGTCTCAGCAAATTCTTTAGAGTGGGCGGCTCCAGGGGAAGGAGAAAGCAACTTGCTTTGGTAAAGTCTCCAAGAGTTAAACACGGGCAGGGGCCAGCAATACTGGGGCAGTAAACAGCAGCGAGGCGAGTTCTATAACTGCTGGTGTCTGGACAAAGTAAGTTATAATAGCAGTGGTTATGTTAACATTTCCCTTATGTATTCCCTAATCTAAATAAATCAGGGGCCCATCTGAAGGAAAGAGCAGGAGAGCAATGCCACAGGTCTAAGCAACTTGCCTCTCAAACTGAAGGTAACGGCGTAAAGGCCAGCTTAAAGCTTCTTCAGTGCTACTTCTGCCAAGTGCAGGACTTACTTCAACTGGCCAGGAACTTCGAGATCAAAAGAACAGTGTCATGAAACCCAGCCAGGAGAAAAAGGGTCCACCAGAGGGTGAGCAGGGAGAGCCGGGTCCTGCAGAAGTGCCGTCTCCAAATTCCAGGGGACAGAAATCCTTAGGGAAGCACAAGCAGACTTGGTTTTGCTGCAAGATCTTGGTGAAAACAAACAGCCGAAAAGCACACAGACATTTATACAGAGATAATCCATTTGTATTAAATCTTGGAGCTCATCATTTAGTAAGAGCAGAGGAAGGAGACCTGAGAATACGAGACCTTAGTAGGACAACGGTGTGACATCAGTGCAAAAATAAAAATGCAGTCATGGTCTGCATTACAAGTAAAGGCAGACATAAGCCCTTCTACCAGACCCACATAAGATCCCTTCCATACAGTTCTGGCCAAACAGATTCCCCAGCCCTGAAGAGGTGCAGAAAAGGACTTGAGGGATGATCACGGGTATAGTTAACCCATAGTATAACAGGAAACTAAAAGGACTTCGCTTGTTTAAACGAGAAAAAAGGGGGAAATTTGACTACTGTCTAGTTTCAAGCATTCTTTCCCCTCTTAATGTATTGGTAAAGGCTGATGCTTGCAAGAACAGATCATAGAATGGTTTGGGTTGGAAAGGACCTTAAAGATCATCTAGTTCCACCCCACCTGCCACAGGCAGGGACACCTTCCACCAGGTTGCTCAAAGCCCCATCCAACCTGGCCTTGAACACTTCCAGGGATGGGGCATCCACAGCTTCTCTGGGCAACCTGTTCCAGTGCCTCATCACCCTCATAGTGAAGAATTTCTTTCTTATATCTAATCTAAATCTACCCTCTTTCAGTTTAAAGCCATTACCCCTTGTCCTATCACCACGTGCCCTTGTAAAAAGTCCCTCTCCAGCTTTCTTGTAGGCCCCCTTCAGGTACTGGAAGGCTGCTGTAAGGTCTCCCCGGAGCCTTCTCTTCTCCAAGCTGAACAACCCCAGCTCTCTCAGCCTGTCCTCATAGGAGAGGTGCTCCAGCCCTCGGATCATCCTTGTGGCCCTCCTCTGGACCTGCTCCAACAGGTCCATGTCCTTCTTATGTTGGGGGCCCCAGAGCTGGACGCAGCACTCCAGGTGGGGTCTCACGAGAGCAGAGTGGAAGGGCAGAATAATATTTTTCCGGAATAATATATTTCCAAAATTTGTTCCAGAATAATAATTTAAAGATTTTTGACAGTTGAATCATTTTTGATGGCTTGTAGGGGAAACACAGCTGTGCATCCCAGAGAGAAAGCACTGGAGCTTTACTCTGAAAACTTCCTGCAGAGAGACAGGTTGTACTGATACAAGAATCACTTTGCTAATATGTTGTCCCTATTTTTCCTACACATCAAGCCAATAAAACTTTTCTCAAAAACCCCTTTGAAGCAGACAGCAGTGCAAGCTAGCACAGAAGTAATACTCCATCATCACAGGCCATCCTCCAGCTGGAAGATGTTCCGTTTTCAGTTTGAGGATACACATACTGGCTCAACTGCAGCTGATGAGGAGGCTTCTTTGGGGTTTTTTTTTGGTTTGGTTTTTTTGGGTGTGTGTGGGTTTGGTTTTTTTAAGTGAAAAGTTATACCTTTATGTTTTGGGCAGCCTTGCAATAGTACTTCATGCAGAAAAGAACAAAATACTCCTTGGGCTGGGACCAGGAAATCAAGATTTGGATCAGAGCTGCTGCAGTGTTGGAAAGATTCAGATTTTGCTTTCCACTATGCATTCCCTTTCCTCTCAAAGCTTCTGACAGGCTCTGTAGCCTTTTTCAACCCAGAGAACCATTAGCAATTATGGGAGATATTAGCAGGTACCTGGAACGTTGTGGAGAAATAAAAAGAAAGTCCAGCTCAAGCTTAACTTATGATCTATCATTCCTGCAAAGATAAAACATCACACATCCCTATCAAAATGATGCTCCAGCTTCCCAGGCATACAGTTGTGTGCAGAGGCTATTTTAAACAGAACAAGAGCAACCCCCAATCCATCCCTTTAGTGTGAGACATTGACAGATTATGTTCTTTTGCACGTGATTAAATTTTTAGTGTCACATGGGAAGTCAGAGCTGTCCTGCAGAGCTCAAAGAAGAGTTATTCAGCAAATGGGCATTAAAGTGAAGAGCCTTTGTAGACGTATAACCCCATCTGACATCACCCCTCGGTGAGAATCACGTGGTCTCATTGACCTGTTCCAGACAAAGCCCTCCATCAGTCCCAGCCCTTCAAACCCACCCAGATCCATGCTGGATGGCCCATGAATCGTATGAATGAAACTGTCAGCTGTGGACATAGCACCACTTCAGGAGACTTACAGGAAGACAGAAAATAAGACGCCAGTTTACTGAAGCAAAGGGATTTGATAGCAAGCAGCCAGCCCAATAGCACTATGGACAGTCGGCACTCACAGCCTGGCTTTTGGGGGGTGGCTTGCTCAGGGGCTGACACCATGGTCAATGATTATTTCTCTCAGCATCTGAAGGAGATTTTTTTTTTAATCCTACTAAGAGATCTCTTCTGGAAGAAGACTCACTCAGGTGCTTTAAAAAAAAAAAAAATTCTGCTAAACAGGCATTTTTTAGGGACTTTACAATACATCAGGGTGGTTAGCTACACTTGAAAAAGCTTCCTCCAGAAGATAGCCTGT